TCCGATCTAATAAGAAAATAGAACAAAATTAATTATATTATATTATTAATTTAATTTGTTATTTGTTTTCAGTACTAAGTGACAAAATAATAATAATTTTCATAAAAACGTTAAATTCCCAGAAATCACAATAAGTCATATAAGAACTTTTGTGAGGTAGATTCTTTTATTTATTGGACTAGCTAAATTGGATCAACATTTATTATTTTTAGGAACTTTATCTTTTTCTTTAATTTTTGTTCAATAACTCGAACATATTAATTTAATAATAGTTATATAATCTTTTAAAATTATATATTTATTGATAAGGTACACGTGCAAAGTACGTACCTAAGACTAGTAAATTGAAATGTAGGGATTAGGAGATAAAGCATCACCCAGAAGAAGAAATAATAAACTTAAAGACGCGCTAGAAATTATCTTAAACAAATTAACGTGTCTCCACTTTATTAACTACAAAAGTTTACAACAATAACTTTTACAATCTAGAAATTGTGATAATGTTTCTTGGATACTCCACGCATGCAGAGTTAATATTCACAAAAGAATTACTTGACCTCTAATCTACACGAGCCAAAAGATAAGCTCTACTGCATGACTCCACAACCACAAGAATTATTGACTAATTCAGCATCCGCCACCGCCACCACCGCCTCCACAGCCGCCTCCACCACCGCCACCGCATCCGCCTCCACCACCGTAATCACCTCCTCCACCTCCATAGTAGTGCCCACCGCGGCCCCAACGGCTCTTCTTGCCGTTAGAGGAGTCTCCACAAGCAAAAATGACCATTGATATCATCAAAATAGACATAACCACCATTCCCACCATTATCATAAGCCCTGAACCCTCAATTGCTGAGCCACCATCTCCCACACCATATATTAATCGTGCCATATTTCTGTTAGACTTTAATTAATTAATTCTCTGAAGAAACAATATCTCAACAAGTAATATATAGGCGCCATTAAGCGGCCTTTTGTGATGTTTGATTGTAGACTTTTCGTATGAGTTGACCATGTTGCTTCATTGACCCTTGATGAATCATTGAATCTGATTATTCTAATGGGAAAAAAGCCTACTAGCCATGTTCAACAAAGTTGCAACTTCATCCAAAAGACCGACTTTGATTTGGTCATAGTTTTAAGTTGCGTCTCTAATGTAAGAAGCCTATGAAGTCATGAGAGTGCTCATTACGCTTTTGCTCCCTCAAACTTCTTAATCAGTAGTACTTTCCTAGGAAGTTGCGCTTAATTTCGTCCAAATTAAAAGGCCAACTAATTATTTAATTCTTTAATTTGATTCACTTATTTCCAAGAACATTATGCATACAGGACTTCAAATTTGCAAAATCAGTTTTATTCAAACTTGTTTCTTGTTATTAAGGGAAAATTTTAAATTTCTATAGGAGACAATTCACACTACTCAACATGATCCACCAGGGGAGCTAGAGTATTAAGTATAGGTTCAGTCGATCCTTTGGTCTCTATATTTATATTAAAAATTTTATTATATATTAATTACGAATGCATTAAAAAATACATGCTATGAGTAAACTTCAAATTATGACTTTGCCCACAACTAGAAAATGTGAAATTTAGAGAGAGAAATATTGCAAAATGACAAATTCTATTCTATTCCAAAAACTGAATGTGTATCTGTACAAGTTCCTATTTATATACATGTGTACTACTCCATCTAGTAACAGCTGGCATAACTAATCAACCACTAGCTAGCTAACTCAAATGTGTAGAACATAGAAAATTACATAAATATCCCTAGCTTCTCAACCTAAACATTAACCCACATCTCTGATAACCCCATTCTCCCCACAGTGGTCATTGCTAACCTCAACACCTCCCCTCAAGTTGGAGGGTGGAGATTGAACCCCCAACTTGCCCAAAATTTCATGATGCAAAGGACCCGGCAAGGATTTGGTGAAGATGTCGGCGAGTTGCAAACGAGTAGGAACAAAAGAAAGAGAGATGAGCCCAGATTGGAACTACTGGCGGACAAAATGGCAGTCAAGCTCCACATGCTTAGTGCGCTCGTGAAAGACGGGGTTTTTTGGCGATATAAATGGCCGCCTGACTATCAGAGTGCAGCAGAACAGGCAAGGAAGGAGAAACAGACAAATCAGAGAGGAGACGAACCAGCCATGTCAATTCAGATACAACACGACGCATAGATCTGTACTCTGCCTCGGCGGAGGACAAAGAAATAGAGGGATGTTTCTTAGATTTCCAAGAGATAGGGCAAGACCCCAAACTGATGAAGGACCCACTGACGGAGCGGCGAGTATCAGGACATGAGCCCCAGTCAGAATCGCAGAAAGCAAGAAGGTCAAAAGAAAGAGCAGAGGTCATAAAAAGGCCCAGACCAGGATCCTTGAGAAGATAACGGAGGCAGTGTTTGGCAGCATCCAAGTGAGGAAATCTAGGGTCTTGCATAAACTGAGAAAGATGTTGCACAGCGAAGGAAAGATCCGGGCGAGTGTGGGTCAAAAAATCGAGTTTTCCAAGAAGACGACGATAAAGAGAAGGATCAGGGATAGGAGCCCCCACACCAGCAAACAACTTGCAAGTAGGATCAAGAGGAGAAGAAGTATGTCGTTCAGCTAGACAATCAAAGTCGGAGAGCAACTCAAGAGTGAATTTGCGTTGACTGAGAATCAGACCTTGAGGCTCCCTAAGGACTTCCATGCCAAGAAAAAAAGATAAGTCCCCCAAATCCTTTATTTGAAATTCAGCATGTAAGAACATTTTCAAATCAGTGAGCTCTTCCAAATTATTGCCAGTCAATAGAATGTCATCGACATAAACAACCACTATAGACACAGAATCACCACTGAACTTGTAGAACAAAGAGTAGTCGTTGAGAGAGTGAGTGAAGCCCTTAAAATTCAAAACAGCAGTCAACTTAGCATACCACTGACGAGAAGCCTGACGTAGACCATAGAGGGATTTCTTAAGGCGACAAACCAGGTGAGGAGAGGGAGGAGAGAAACCTGCTGGAAATTTTATATAAACCTCCTCATGGAGGTCACCATGTAGAAACGCATTATTAACATCCAACTGGTAGAGACCCCAATCTTTCTTCACAGCAATAGCCAAAATACACCTAATAGTGGTCATTTTAACAACAGGGGAAAACGTCTCAGTAAAGTCAATGCCCTCCCTTTGAGTGTCTCCTCTAATGACCAATCGAGCCTTAAGCCTCTCAACAGAACCATCAGATTTAAGTTTAACCTTGTACACCCACTTACAAGGAAGAGCTTTCTAGCCTATAGGGAGAGGTACCACTTCCTAAGTATCATTGGCAAGCAAGGCATCCAGTTCTTTGGCCATGGCATCCTGCCAGCTAGAGTGCTGAGCAGCCTGTGAGTAGGATACAGGCTCTTGAATTTGAGAAATGGATTGAAAAACATGTTGATTGGAAACAGACAAAGCACAAAAAGGAATAGGAGTAGGGGAGATAGGAGAGAGGAAACAGGGAGAAGAAATATTAGTGAGATGAAGAGCATTGCATATGAAATCTGATAGATAAGCAGGGGTTTTATGGTCTCTTAGGGATCTGCGCAATGCAATAGGAGGAAGGGGACCAGAGGATAAGGGAGAAGAAGAAGAAGAATGAGAAGGAGGAGAAGGACTGGGAGAAGGTGGTATAGAAGAAGAAGAAGAAGAAGTAGGACTAGGAAAAGAAGGGGAAGGAGAAAGTGGAGAAGCAGGAGGAGAATCCAAAAAGGAAGGAACAGGAATAGGATCAGAGGAGAAATCCATAGGAGGAACAACAGAAGAAAGGGAAGAGGATGAAGGAAAAGGAGAAGTCATCGTAGAAAAGGGAAAAATGGATTCATGGAATATAACATTTCTGGAAACAAACAAGTCTCAAGTAGTGAGATTAAGTAATGTGTAACCCTTTTTGCCAAAAGGGTAACCAAGAAAAATACATGGATTGGCCCTGGGATCAAGTTTACCCCTGTGTTGAGACAAAGTAGAGGCAAAGCATAGACATCCAAAACATTTAAGGGAGGTATAGTCAGGTGGTGTGCCAAATAATATTTCATAAGGGGATTTATAATGTAGCAATTTAGTAGGGTATCTATTGATCAAATAGGTGGCAGTGAGTAAACAATTTCCCCAGTAAACTAGAGGTACTTTGGACTGAAACAATAGAGCCCTACAGGTTTCAAAAAGATGTTCATGTTTCCTTTCAACAATCCTATTTTCTTGGGGTGTGGCAACACAAGAAGTCTGGTGAATTATCCCTTTATCATTGAAATAGGCTTGGGCTGTAGAACTGCCTCCTAGCTCAAGGGCATTATCAGATCTAATGACTTTGACTTGAGTAGAGGATTGCCTTTCCACCATAAAAATAAAATGAGTTAAAACAGTGAAGGCATTACCCTTAGTACTCAGCAAATAGGTTCAAGTACCCCTACTAAAATCATCAACTATAGTTAGGAAGTACTTGAAACCATCATGAGTTGTTGTGTTATAAGGGCCCCAGGTATCAATATGTATAAGTTCAAAAATATGAGAAGTGGAGGTAGTACTAATAGGAAATGGCAATTTATGTTGTCTTGCCATGGGGCAGATAGTACAAGGGAATGCATCAGGAATAAGAGCTGCTTTAGGTAAAAAGGAAATACTTTTCATACTGGAAAGGGGCATATGCCCAAGTCTTACATGCCATAATTTGTGACAAGAGTCAGCAGAAGTAGAAACATTAGTAGAACAACTAGACAAAGAATTATCAATGAACTGAGTACAATTATTTGAAATGGTTGACACTGGTTTGCTTTGGTGCAGAGAATCAGCATGAGGATGGAAGGATTGAAGAAGGTAGAGTCCATTCTTCACTCAGGAGCTAGAGGCCTCTTCAAGGAAAGGCCCTGCAACACACAGGAAGTAGCACGAAACATGAGAAGACTATTGAACTGTAAGCAGAATTTTGTACTGAGATTAGGTTGAATTTGAAACTTGGCACTAGTAAAACTTTATTTAGAGTTAATTCTGGGTGAATAGGAACTTTCCCTGCATGTGTGACTTTGATCCTATAGGTGTTAGGTAGATTAACATAGATAGGCTGTGACAGAGGTTCAATATTAAGTAGAATGGATGCATCAAAAGTCATATGTTCTGATGCTCCAGAATCTAGGATCCAAAAATGTGTTTTAGATGTGATGAGTGGAAGAAAAGAGGAATGTATACCAGCACAATTAGCTGTTGCATTGGCTTCAGAACTGGAAGGTCCCTGCTGTCCAAATTTAACCTGTTGTAGTAACTCCGTTAGCTGATTGAGTTGTTCCTGCTTAATACCTATACTGACATCACTAGCCTGTGACTGAGTATCTTCCTGAGTACTGGTTGCATTGCTGTGTGCATGATTGTTGAAAGGTCTAGGTCTGCTGTTTTTAAAATTGAGGGGATAACCATGAATCTTGTAACACTTCTCAATGGTATGTCCTGGCTTCTTGCAATATCTGCAAATGAGATTGGTAGAAGTACTCCTCTTATAATCCTGATGTTGAGTCTGATTGTTTTTTAGTCCATTGGCTGTGTTTCCTTGATTATTGTTAAACCTGTATTGTACTTGATTGACATTCTGTCCAGTAACAGTCTAGGAGCTTGAATCACTAGGATAATTTCCCAAAGGTTGTATACTTCTCTGCATTTCCTCTTGTAATAGAAGAAAGTAAGCTCTATCAATATCTGGTGAAGGATTCATCATCATTATGTTTCCTCTACAGGCAGTATATGATTCATTCAGTTCCATTAGGAATTGAACTAGCTTCTGTCTCTCTTCAAGTGCACTATTTTTCTCCAATGCACCACATTTACACTCTGCACAACTGCATATAGCCCTAGCATCAAGTAGCTCAATTTCATCCCAAATTGCCTTCATATTATTGAAATAGGTTGCAATGTTATTTGATCCTTGCACAGTTTCTACTAATTGTTTTTGCAATTCAAATAACTGTGCTAGATTCGATTGTCCATATCTCTTCTCAAGTTGTTTCCATAAATCGTGTGCAGATCTAGAGTGAATCACACTGGATCTGATCTCTCTTGTAAGTGAATTCAACAGCCAAGCAAAAACCATGTCATTGCAACGAGTCCAAAGGCTAAAAAAAAGCAAAATTCTCCTTTGGTTTTGGCAAAGTTCCATCAATGAAGCCAAGCTTATTCTTAGCAGATAGTGATATTAATACAGATTTTCTCCATGAGCCATATCCAGTTCCATCAAAAGCACTGAAAACCAATGCCATGCCTGGTGAATCTGAAGCATGAAGATAATATGGGTGAAGATGATCGATCTTCTCCATTGTAGCAGAAGCAAAAGGTCCAGAATTTGAAGTATCTTTCTCCAGAACCATGATCGAAGTGCTGAGTTTTGGAAATCTGACAAGGAATCTCGAGTCGTATAGAAAATTCTAGAAGAATCTAGACAAAAAGAGCATGTGCTCTGATACCATGTGAAATTTAGAGAGAGAAATATTGCAAAATGACAAATTGTATTCTATTCCAAAAACTGAATGTGTATCTGAACAAGTTCCTATTTATATACATGTGTACTACTCCATCTAGTAACAGCTGGCATAACTAATCTACCACTAGCTAGCTAACTCAAATGTGTAAAACATAGAAAATTACATAAATATCCCTAGCTTCTCAACCTAAATATTAATCCATATCTCTGATAACCCCATTCTCACCACAGTGGTCATTGCTAACCTCAACAGAAAAATTGAACCCAAGACCTTCAAAGTTTTATGAAGCTCAAACCTTGGTCAAATGTCCCACCCTCCACCACCAATCTATGGAAGAGCATCTCTTCCTAATAAAAATATTCTAAATAGATCTCCTGGTAACTGTTCTAATTTGGCTCTTCAAGAGCCGAACACCCACTACTGTCAATGGTTTACCACTTTGGATAAGCATTTTATTTTCACCAAACATTCATCCATCTCAATGTGAAAGTAATTTTGAATTTTTATTAATAAATAAATATATTAAAGGAATTTTAGTCTTTTCAACATATAGTGCTTATCACTTTTATTTATTGGACACACAACAAGATATATTTTTCACGTCAAAATAGACTTGACTACATTTTACGTATGAATTTATTGACAGTTTACTTAGTGGCATCAAATTATGACCACCAGGTGACGAGAATTTGAAGAGAAAAACTTGTATCAAATCATCTTTTCAAACTTTTAACTTTTAAAAATGTATTGAATTATTTTAGACATTCAATTTAGTGGTAAAAGATTGAAATTGCTATGTGATGAGAATTTGAAAAAATATTATGTTAATGTTGAATGTTTCTTAGAATGTTAATCTTGTGATAGAGTTACTTGCAAGATGGCTTAATAATCATCGTTGTAAATAATTTCAATACAAACATATATTAATTCTGTTTTATATATCCAAACCTCTTATTAAAGGTTGACTCCAAATCATTCGAGCTACCCTTGGTATTGCTTCCTCTCATCATGTAACAACAAATTACCCCTCTGCCACTTGTTGTTCCTTTTGTGCCGTTATTATGAATTTTAATTGTTTACAAAATAAACTAAAAATATCAATAATTTTTGTTAACCGATTGTATAAATGGTAGACTGCAACACATGAGGGTTTTCGTCATTAATTGCTTCCGGGACAAACTTTACTATTTTCTCTATAGACTCCATACGTATCTAATGTACAAATCAAATGACTAAAGTCCATTTATAGTAAGAGATTAACAAAAGGAAGAGATTGCTGCTTTGCATGCCTGAAATAATTATGCAATAATAGCATCTTGATGCCTTGTCTAGTCATTATTATCTCTCAAATATTGTGTAACGACCCGACCGGTCGTTTTGAGTACTAGCGCTCCGTTCAGCAGTCGGAGGCCATGAACAGCTTCATTTCAGGTATTATGACTTGTACGCGTGGTCAGAATTTAATTTCGGGAAGTTCGGAGTTGATTTGGGAAGAGAATTCTCATTTCGGAAGCTTAAAGTTGAAAGAATGAACTAGGATTAGAACTTTGAGTAAACGACCTCGGAATCGAGATCTGAAGGTTCCAGCAGGTTCGCATGATAATTTCGGACTTGGGCATATGCCCGGATTGGGTTTTGGATAACTCGGGAGCGTTTTGGCACCTATTGTGGAAGTTAGCATTTTTGAAGGAATTTCATAAGTTTGGCTTGAAGTGCATTTCGGTGTGTCCGTTTGGAATTCCGAGACTGGGAGTAGCTCCGTATGGTGATTCTGGAGTTGGGAGCGCGACCGGAAGTGAATTCGGAGGTCCGTAGACCATTTTGAAGCCATTTGGCTAAAGATAGAAATTTGAAGGTTTCTGGGAAGTTTGACCGGAAGTTGACTTTTTGATATCGGGGTCGGAATCCAATTCCGAAAGTTGGAGTAGGTCTGTAATGTCAAATATGACTTGTATGCAAAATTTGAAGTCAATCGGATATGATTTGATAGGTTTAAACATCGGAAATAGAAGTTGGAAAGTTCAAAGTTCATAAAGCTTGAATCGGGGTGTAATTCATGGTTTTAGCGTTGTTTGATGTGGTTTGAGGCCTCGAGCAAGTCCGTAATGTGTTTTGGGATTGGTTTGTATGATTGGTTGGGGTCCCGGGGGCCCCGAGTGGATTTCGGGTGGTTAACGGATCGAAATTAGAATTTGGAAGGCTTGAGTGTGCTGCTTCTGTCATAACCGCATCTGCGGTTCTTGGACCGCAGATGCGGTCCGAAGCTCGCAGAAGCGGAAAGGGGGTCAGGCCCAGGAAATCGCAGAAGCGGCCCAAGGACCGCAGAAGCAGTTCCGCTTATGCGGCCCCCAGACCGCAGAAGCGGTCAACGCCCTATGCCCAAAGCCGCAGAAGCGGCGAAAAAGTCGCAGAAGCGACATCCGCAGAAGCGGAACTATTTCCGCAGAAGCGGAAATAGCTGGGAGCAGAAGCTTGTTTTAAATCGTGGGATTGAGTCCATTTCTCCCATTTCTTCATGGCTTGGGCGATTTTTGGGGAGCTTCAAGAGAGGATTTTGTCTTCAATGATTAAGGTAAGTTATCCCTATCACTTTTGAGTTAAATATATCAATTATATATGGATTTAAGCATGGAAATTAGAGTAAATATTGGGATTTTGGTTGAAAACCTAGAAAGTTATAATCTTGGATTTTAGCCACGATTTTGAGTATGGAATTAAGAGAAAATTATGTACTTGAGTTCCTAAGGTCATGGGTAACCTTTATCTTCGAAAAATTATGGATTCCGGGCACATGGGCCCGAGGGCATTTTGGTCATTTCACTAAGCGAAGTTGGGAATTTGTATAAGCTGAATTTTTAACAAGTATTTGAGCATGTTCTCATTAATTTGTCGTTAATTGACTAGTTTTGGTGTATTGTGCGTTGGTTCAAGCCTTCGGAAGAATGTAGAATGCCGGTTATGAGTCTTCGGAGCGAGGTGAGTCTCCTTTCTAATCTTGTGAGGGGGAATTTACCCCATAGGTGAGTAAACTGGTTATGTGCTCCTATTTGTGGGGGCTACGTATGCACGAGGTGACGAGAGTCCGTGCGTAGCTACTATTATGCTATTGTCCGGGTAGTCTAGGACTCGAAAAGTATGTTATACTTGGATTACTGTGAACCCATTGATAGTTTGAATTGTTTAAATCACCATGAATTGGTAAAGGAATTTAAAAAGAGATAGTTGTTTATTTGGATGATTATCCTCGACGAGCTCTTAATTTCCTACTTGAGCATGTATTTTATGTGTGCCTGCGTCGCATGGATGATTCGCGAGCAGGATATGTGTTTATTTATGGAACGGGCCGAACGCCTCGGTGAAAATAGATGCATCTATGGTTCGTGCCGCTCAACCCTCGGCAGTGCACAGTTTACATTCCTGTTGGAGCGGGCCGTCGCCTCGGTGTGATTTGCGCATGTTTATCTGTTACTTGAAGAATCGTAAATGTGGAATTGGCCCTATGTGGCTTGATATAAACTGATAAGATAATAAAGAATAGACTTTAAAGCCCTTGATTTATTGTTGAAGGTGTTTACCTGTTTTCTGGCTTCACAATTAGAACTTCTGTATAAACCCATGATTTTTCCTCGCACTTATAGAATATTGTTAATTGACCTCTAGTGAGTGTCGAAGTTGGCCATCTCATCTCTACCCCTTCGGGATTAGGCGGGATACTCACTGAGTACACGTTGATTACGTACTCATACTACACTTCTGTGCATTTTTGTTGCACAGGTATGTACACTTCTAGCAGCCAACTGGGCGTAGCAGCATGGATAATTCTGGGACTAGGTGAGCTGCAGTTTGCGAGGCGACCCGCAGCTCGTGTAGTTCCTTTCTGCTCTTTTATTATTTATTCCCTGTCCACTGTATTTATGACAGATGTTGTATTTTATCTTACTTATCAGTAGTCGCTCATGCACTTGTGACACCGGGTTCTGGGATGGTTTTTCGAAAGATTTGAATTAATTGACATTGTTTGATTTGAATTGAAGCAAAAACCTCTTATTTATGAAAAATGGAAGGAAATTTCTGGAATTTGATGTATTTTAAAAGAGGATTTTAAATCGGTAATTTAATTGGCTTGCCTGACAGCGGTGTCCGGCGCCACCACGACCCTTAGTGGATTTTGGGTCGTGACATATTGCATAAAATTGTTTAAATCCGACTAACCAGTCAAAAATATATCTTGCTTCATTGTCAAAAGGAAGTTTAAAGCTTGTAACTATAACACAATTGTATCTATTTGGAAGTCATTGATTTTCAAAAAACAGTTGCAGTTTTGAGTATAGGATAAGTTAGGGGTATACATAGGTCAAGTTGGTTCAGGTTTTACAATTATCAAACCAAATCAATCGTGTCGGGTTATTAAATCTAAAGACCAAACCAAACCAATAAAAGTCGGTCTTTTTAATCTCAATTTTTCTCGGATTTTTTGGTTTTCCAGTTTTTCAGGTTTGCTCGGGGTTTTTTTCTGTCACGACCCCGAAACCGACCCGCTCGTGATGACGCCTATCGTGAAACTAGGCTAGCCGACACGTTTCAAAAAAATAGTTCAACATTTCAATTAAAG